TTTACTTCTTCATACTTTTACAATCATATACCCATGGTAAAATTGATTTTGTTTTAAATTGTGGACACAATGGCTCGTTTAAAATTTCCAATTGGGAGCGTCCATGGGGGAATCCCCCACAAATAGTGACAGTTGGCAGGTATGGGAAAATATACAGGAGTCAGTAATATCCATATGAATACATTTACACATCAAATATATTTATGGATAAGTTGATATGCACTGGAAATGAAATTACATTATTACATGTTTTATTAACTGGTGCCTGAAGAGTTTGTCACATTGACTCATTCATGTATAAATGATAGTATAATCATCCATTATATCAGAAGTCCATTAGCTCTAGTAATGGATTGATTGATTGATTGTTGGTTGCTTAACGTCCAGTGGCAAATATTTCATGCATATTCAGGACGAGAACAAGTTCACAATAAATACAATAGGTAGGTTCTGTAATAGGTTAAGGGATTAAGGTCGGAGAAATTTAGACTACCACGGGAAATGAGGGTATATTGGATAGGGGCAGAAATTTAGCCTTGCAACAGGTCACCTACGGACCCCTCAAAGAGTTGTTGCAAGGGTTCTTAACGTGCAAAGAGCGTGGCACTCTCTTTACACGAGGCATCGGATTTAACGTCCCCATTCTGACCGGACGTGGCTGCAAATTTGTACATCCCGCACAGCCAAACGGACGCCCCACTTTAGCACGGGTTTTACTGCCGGTCGGAGGAAGACCAATGGTGACCATACTTCTATTCCCCAGTCACCCTTGGGGGCTCTCTAGTAATGGACGATTATAAGTAGTCGAACTACTGTATCACTTGCCAGTCACTACACTGAGGTTGTGAGTTCGAATCCCGCACGGTGCAGGTGCACTCGACTCCAATCTTAATTGACTTAGGATTGTCATTTTTCCTACCGAAGGTCGGTGATTCTCTCCGGGCACTACGGCTTCCCCCACCAATAAAAACTGACCGCCACGAAATAGCACAATAGTGTTGAAAGTGGCGTTAAACACCAATTACTCAATCTGATTATATACAGGACTCCAGAATAGTCAATAAAGTTGTATATCTAACAAAATGCCTTGGTCTCAGGAGAGATTGATGTACTGTCTGACGTTTGTATGTCTTTCTAACTAGTCATTTCATTTCCACTCATAACAAATATAATTTATATTGGAATTTATTACATGGAAAATCTGATTATTATTTGTACATTCTGTTTTGATTATAATTACTAATAAATACATGACAGATGAAAAAGGTGCAAGGATATGTTATGAAAATATTCTTTTGTGATAACATCGATATGTCTTGAATTATCTATCATAAATAAGCCACTTATTCCAAGCGTGGAAACAGATGTTACAAATATAAAATGCATTTAAGCAGCAGTTTTTATAGATAAGAAATAAATGCTTTATACTGTGTGTAATTGATGGTTATAGAAAAGGTTATCTATCGATCTTATTTGCGTAGGCGGTAAATAAGATAAAGTTTGAATTTTATTTTTAATGTTGTATGTTATGCGTGATGTATATAGAGGTTCATTTTTGTCGAGTCTTCGACTTTTGTCGAAAAAGCGAGACATAGCGATCCTACATTCCGTCGTCGGCGTCCACAAATATTCACTCTGTGGTTAAAGTTTTTGAAATTTCAATAACTTTCTTAAACTATCCTGGATTTCTACCAAACTTGGACAGAAGCTTGTTTATGATCATAAGATAATATCCAAAAGTAATTTTTGTAAAAAAAAAATCCATTTTTTCCGTATTTTACTTATAAATGGACTTAGTTTTTCTGCCAGGAAACATTACATTCAATCTGTGGTTAAAGTTTTTGAAATTTTAATTACTTTCTTAAACTATCCTGGATTTCTACCAAACTTGGAAAGAAGCTTATTTATGATCATATGATAGTATCCAGAAGTAAATTTTGTAAAAAAATAAATCATTTTTTCCGTATTTTACTTATAAATGGACTTAGTTTTTCTTCCAGTTAACATTACATACAGTCTGCAGTTAAAGTTTTTAAAACATTTATTAGATTCCTAAACTATCCTGGATTTTTACCAAACTTGGACAGAAGCTACTTACAATCAAAAGATAGTATAGAGAGGAATATTTTTATTAATTTTTTTCCTTATTTTTGTTGAGCCTGCGATTAACAGTAAAAGTAGGCGAGACACTGGGTTCCGCGGAACCCTTACAAATTTTTATTTACCCTCATTTCAACCATACTCTTCACAGGTATATAAAAATAGTTTCGACGACAATATTCAGTATAATAAAGTAACTTAACATCCATGTATTTATTAAGTGGTCAAATACTTTTATTCTTGTCCAGTGGTATAGATCTCATTGGTAAATGACACACTATCTATCAATAATAATTATATATCACTTTCATGATAATCAAATGGGTGAGGGTTAAAAGAATTTGAATCTCTGTGCTTTTTAAAACCACATGGACCAGACGGGCTTTTTCTAAATACTATTATGTGTATATGCACTGACGTTTGTATATCTTGTTAAAGGATTTTTGTCGAGCCTGCGACTTTTGTCGCAGAAAGCTGGACATAGGGATAGTGATCCGGCAGCGGCGGCGTCAGGTAACTTCTTAAAAGCTTTATATTTTAGAAGCTAGAAGACCTGGATGCTTCATACTTTGTATATAGACATATATCCATTGTCCTTCACCTCACTTTCATGGTTCAGTGACTACTTGAAAAAAAGTCAACATTTTTTGTAATGTTAATTTCTTTCTTATTCTGAGTAATAGGATAACTATATTTTAATAGTATGTGCGTACCTTGCAAGGTCCTCATGCCCGTCAGACAATTTTCATTTGACCTCGACCTCATTTCATGGATCAGTGAACAAGGTTAAGTTTTCGTAGTCAAGTCCATATATCAGATACTATAAGCAGTAGGTCTACTATATTTGGTATATGGAATGATTGTAAGGTGTACATGTCCAACTGGTAGGTGTCATCTGACCTTGACCTCATTTTCATGGTTCAGTGGTCAAAGTTAAGTTTTTGAGTTTTGGTCTTTTTTTCTAATACTATATGCAATAGGTCAACTATATTTGGTGTAGGGAAATACTTTATGATGTACATGTCAGTCTCGCAGGTTTTATTTGACCTTGACCTCATTTTCATGGTTCATTTCTCAGTGTTAAGTTTTAGTGCTTTGGTCTGTTTTTCTTCAACAATAAGCAATAGATCAACTATATTTGTTGTATGGAAGGATTGTAAGGTGTATATGTCTGTCTGGTAGGTATCATCTAAACTTGACCTCATTTTCATGGTTCATTGGTCAATGTTAAGTTTTCATGGTTAAGTTTGTTTCTTAGATACTACAAGCAATAGGTCAACTATATTTAATGCATACATTGATTGTAAGGTGTACATGTCTGTCTGGCATGGTTCATCTGACCTTGACCTCATTTTCATGGTTCATTGGTCAATGTTAAGTTTTCTTGGTTAAGACTGTTAGAAACTATAAGCAATAGGTCAACTATGTTTGGTTTATTGAATGATTGTAAGGTAAACATGTATTTCTCGTTTGGTTTATCTGACCTTGACCTCATTTTCTTGGATCATGTTAAGTTTATGTGCTACTTGTAGTAAAGCTTTATATTTAGGACTATCAACATAAAATCAATGGTTAATAAAGAAGGCGAGACATTTCAGCGTGTGCACTCTTGTTTTCGTACAAGGTGTAGTAAAAATAGCTGTTGTAGATCTTTTCTTTATATATATATATTTTAAAACTCACCTTATTGTGAAGATCTGCAGTTCAATTGATTTACAGGCAAACATGTTAATTGATGTTTACATGAATCCTCTGTTTAAATATGTTCCAACGTGGCGACTATCTCGAATTCTAAAATGAGCACCAAATCACAAAACAAAATGAAGGATCGCCATACCATCAAATATGCATATAACATTCCTCCTGCCGGCAAAGAGAAGCTATATAATATCAGTGTTAAAACTATATAAAAAAAAGGAAATGTTAAGCTATGTTCTTTTGTGAACATTATTTGATATTAAATGGTGTGCAAAACTAGTCTGCGTAGCTATGTATCATCTGGGAAGATTAATTTTATACTAAATAATAGTTAGTTATCATAGCTAATAAAAAAATCGTGGTATGTCTTATAAATCATTAAGCAACTTTTAACGTTGTGTACCATTTGCAAACCAACTTATTGAGCTGCAGTGTATAGGACCAGGAGATAACCATCTTGAATTTCAGATCGAAAGGAAAAACTCGTTTGGTATATAGTTTAATACAAGGATCTATAACCGTATGTAAATCCTTGTAAGTTAATATGGGGACGATGCATTCACGCTATATAATCAATTAGCGAAGTCATTTCTGTTTCTTACGTAAGTCGGACAAAAAAATATTCATATGGTTATATGCAAGACTAGATCACCCTTTGAACATTTTAAATGCCGACAAGTCAGGGGTCAGTGGTTGTCGTTTGTTGCTGTATATCATATTTGTTTTTCGTTCATTATTTTGTACATAAATCAGGCCGTTAGTTTTCTCGTTTGACTTGTTTTACATTTGTCATTTCGGAGCCTTTTAGCTGACTATGCGGTATGGGTTTTACTCATTGAATTTGTTGAAGGCCGTACGGTGACCTATATTTGTTAATTTCTGTGGCATTTTGTCTCTTGTGGAGAGTTTTCTCATTGGCAATCATACCACATCTTCTGATTTTTATACATAAATTATTATCTTTTACACTGAATAAAAAGTTGAAAATTTTAGCACAAACTGAGTGCATGTACGTTTTTCTGCATGTTATAAGGAGTATTGATCACCACGATAAATATGATAATGAAATAGGAGTACTTAAAATGTTGACATGTAGCTATAGAAATATTATTGTATAAGATTACACAACACTGGCAAATCCGCTCATCAATTTCCGCTTATGAACCAAGTTTTCCTATATGTTTTCAAGTGCAATGTAGTTTTAGTCAATTTGAAATCTTCACCTTTCACGAAAATATCTGTAATTGTTTGTATAAGTTTTCTAAAATAAAAAATTGACCAAAGCAAGTTTACTCATGCGCTTCTACTATTATCATAATATATAAATATAGCGAGAGAGACAGAGAAACATTGAAACCCAACATTTTTTTCTGAAGTCAGTGTCACGTGTTGTGTCAAAGTAAACGAAACCAAGAAGTTGTTTAGAAGCTCTCTGGAGTTATCCAATACACAGAGAGAAAAAGGTAAGACATGATGCTAATTATATTGATTGCTTTTTAGATGTTTGTGTAGTTTGTTAATATGAATTTCCTGCCAACTTACGATAGATATAATTAGTAATGTACTTATTGCAAAAATGTTATTTATTATTGTTCAAGTTGTCAGATAACAGATATTTGATCCTGATAATTTTGATGTGCATACAATTGCATGAACAATTGGTACTTTTGGAAATATATGAGTTTAACGTCACAGCAAGTTTTAATATCGGCATCTTGATTCATGTGATTGCCACTCGTGTATTTTTCATAATTTATCTGAAAATACTAGTTTCTATAATGGATGAATGTCGAGTGCGTCATTTTCATAACAACTGTGTATATGCATGGGTGTATCCTCTGTAATACACAATATTTATCATGACAACTCTATTATATATCTATCGATTGTAAACATCAAATTTACCAATGTATCTATATCAACATCTTCAATTAAAACTACAATAGCTAGGTCACCATATGACACAAACAGATTTCCCACTTTATTATACTAACATTTCTTGGAAAACGTATTTTCTCCTCTCCAGGTCACAGTGGTTTTTTTAAGGCTTTTATGCTTTGACAATGGCAATGTTTATATTTCAGTTTGTTTAAATGTGTATATACAAGTTTTTGTTTAAATGTGTATAAATACATGTTTTTGTTTAAATGTATTTTAATCACTCTAATCATTCTAATCATTTACTCTGCTTTATAATTGTGTAATAATTCATTTTATTGCTCAAATTTTGGGCACCATGATTTGTTAGTAATAAAAAATATTTTATCTTATCTGTTGGTAATGATAACGATGACACAAACTATTGATATTACGCGTGAATCTCGTCTGATCTCTTCGTGATGACACTGTAAGATACAAGGTCGGGTCCCCAATTTTTGCGACTGTATCGGGAGATATAGTAACCAGATTCACATTTGATGCACCTTATGTACTATGCTTCTATCGAGCACGCGCAACATACGTGTTTAACCCTCTGACATAAGTGCTCCTATAATTAGATTTTGTTGAGATGGAATATATATATCACCTCCCTTTCCCAGATTGGTAAAGCCCCTATTATGGATTACTTTTTTGTAGTTTACTGATATCAGCCCCTTACATAGACATAGCCTCTCTCCCCTCTTTTTTTGGGAAATCCCACATGTATGCGCCACTGGAAGTTATCTTGAACTTGAGTTAACAAATTATGCCTTCTGATATTATAAGACTGGCCGATGAACCTCCCGAGAAGATTTAATAATGCATTATAATCTTGTTTGTTTGGGTATGTAGGATTTGTGAAGCTAGGCCAATTGCATAGATCTTCCATTAATACTAAATTAATACATAATAGCCCATTCTTGTTAAGGTATTACATTGACGTATATAATATAATACAATATCTATATAAGTTACAGATAGTTTGCGTCATCTTTGTATCCAGCAGTTCCATTAATGTTCAACTCTGCACAGTGATCGCACGCAGACTTAAGAAAGGCAACTATTTTGGACGGATTAGATTTATTTTTTTCTCAGGTTTCTCGTGTGGAACTTAATGTCATTTTTGTCATTGAATGCTATAAAAATGGACCGTATGTTGTGCCATGTACAACTCCAACAGTATTCGAACCATGTACCGTGGTCGCACACTAATTGAAGATGTGCAACTCCTATTTTGACAAATTTGAATAACTGCGCCGCCGACGACAAGAGCCGTTTTAGTAACTGCTCGACTCCATACGTCCGTCCATCTGCCTGAAACACAAATAGGGTATGTAGTTTATGTAATCTGTATAACTCCACTGAACACTTTTACTTCAACATTAATCAAACTTTTCATGTAAGTGATTTTTTTGGTCAAATTTTAAAATTTACCTGCCTTGCCGATGGCCACTGTAGGTTCAATAACTGCTCGGCCCCATGTACGTACGTCTGTCCGTCTAAAACACAAAGAGGGTACGCAGTTTGTGTCATCTGCAACTCCAACAGTTTTACTTCTACATTAACCAAACGATGTACACGAAAAAGTTATCAGCGACGTGAAAATATGACAGCAGAACTCATTAAGTTTACTTTTGTTGAGACAACGAAGCGTAAACCTGTTTGAGGGACGGGAAAAAAAGTTCAGAAATTGTACGATAAACATATCATCGTCTTTCGTGTATATATAGATATTGTAAAATAATATCTACTACATATAGGGTCACATAGGGGCCCTAGTCATAAACATATAGGGTCCATTTTATACCAATTAAATAACAGAATGGGTGTCTGCTAGTGTATAAAATAAATACAAAGTCCTTAAATGGACCTTTAAAGAGACTAACTTTGAGCATAGATATAATAGCCATTAATATCTGTATTGATATATAATAACCTGTTTAGGAACCCTGACTGTGTTAATACATATATAGAGTACTTGCTGTGTCTAAAGCCTGAAGTTATTATGTCTATTTGAAAAATCAATATCCATGACCATACATACATACATATCTGGACATCATTAAATTGGTTCTGACATAGAGATTAATAATCATTTTGTAGTTCATTAATTTGAATTACTTTTAAAACTGTATGATCTATGTATTAACACAATATAAAGTCTAGATATAACAAAAGAATTGTTGATATCATATAGTCTCTTATCTGAAGCAGAGACATATAATACATGTATTATATGTCTCTGTCTGAAGTATGAAGTACAATATTTATCACAGTTGAAATTTCGAAACATATTTAGTTGAATATCAAAAACTCAAATGAAAACGAAAACAAAAAATTTTATATTTTTTTATTTTCTTTAAATGAACATATATTTTTTTTATTTTTTTATTTATTTTTAGGATCAATAGTAATAAAAAATATAACAGTAAAACATAATATAGATCAAAATCCCAACTCTGAGGTTATATCAATAATCATAAAAAACGGAGAGTTTTGATAATTTTAATTATTAAACAAGATTTTTTAGATGATGATTTAATAGTATCAGCAGAGACATATAATACATGTATTATATGTCTCTGGTATCAGTAAAATATGAAGATATACTTATTATAAAATTTGCATAATGATAAGTATGAGACAATATCTATAATTATAAAATGAGTAGTATCAGAGACATATAATACAATTGTATTATATGTCTCTGGTAGTATGATGGAATTAAAATTGAATCAAACAGTTGTCATGGTTGTTTGAAGAGTAAATAATACTTTTTTTAATTTCTCCAAGAGAAAAGTTTATACAAACACAAACAAAATATACCATATGTTTGTATACAAATAAATATAATACCAACAATCATAATAATTTTAAAATAAAATAGTTTGAGGTAGTTTTTGTAATAATTAAATGTTAAATAAAAAAAGTTGGAGGTAGTTTTTGTAATAATGAAAATGGTGAATGAAATAGTTGAGGTAGTTGTTTTGATAATTATAAAACGATATAAAAGTAAAAGAATGGACTAATATTAATATATAATTGTAAAATGTTGACACAGAGTGTATACGAATAAAGTCCAAGAGAAGTTAAAGACATCTAAATCATGTCAATGGTAAGGTAAGGTTTTTTTTATTTCCAAAAATATACAACAAATGTAAAAACAAATCTTTCATAAAATCTCAATAGGCATATTGCTATTGTTATATAAACAGTATCATGACACAAATTGGATAAAACATCCGAAGTTTTAAACGTTTGAAACCCCCCCCAAAAAATTATAATAAGCATTTTATTAAAAAAAAGTTCAAAGACACTTCATTTTAATGGAGGTTGAGTTCTTTAATTAAAAGATAAGAAATGTTCACAAATATATCAATAGACATATTAACTATGTCCTAACAGTTTAATGGCACAAATATGATCAGACATTTATAACAGTTCATAGAATAACAATCGCACCAAAAATCACAACCAATAAAATGATACTAAAACTTTAACATGCTACTCATAAAACAAAATATGTGTAAAAATACAAACGTATGGAATGAAAAAAAAACAACCAAAAACAGATGCATCTTGGTTTTATCTCACAAATCTCAATAGGTATATTGCTATGTGCATACAAACAGTACCATGGCACAAATCAAACATGTATATCAGTTACATTGCACAAATTGGACCAAACATCACTCTTTTAAAGAATATTTCATGCATGCTCAGTTTTCAAAATCTAAATCAAAACAATATAATGTTGAAAAATAAACTGGTAATAATGAAAGGCACTTTAATTTTAAAATACGAAAGAGTTCAAAGACACCATATATAAATTTTGTATATGACATGATTTCACTTTATTTTAAAAAAAATATATAAATTTTGTAAATGGAAAGGATTTCTTGTATCTTAAAATGAAATGTAAAACAAAAACCATATTTGAAAATTTTGGAACATACGTTTTAATGCCTGTACCAAGTCAGGAATATGAGAGTTGTCTTCCATTCGTTTGATGTGTTTGAACTTTTTGATTTTCCGTTTGATAAGGGACTTTTCGTTTTGAATAATCCTTGGAGTTCGGGAAGTTTTTATACGACCGCAAAAAAAATTTGCGGTCGTATATTGGTATGACGTTGGCGTCGTCTTCTTCGTCGTCGTCGTCGTCCGAAGACACATTGGTTTTCGCACTCTAACTTTAGTTTAAATGAATGGATCTCTATGAAATTTTACCATAAGGTTCAATACCACAAAAGGAAGGTTGGGATTAATTTTGGGGGTTATGGTACCAACAGTTAAGGAAATAGAGGCCAAAAAGGGGCCAACAATAAGAATTTTTGTAACTTCCAGACATAACTTATGTGTTAGTGTATGAATCTCTCTGACATTGTACCACAAGGTTCCATATCACAAAGGGAATGCTGGGATTGATTTTGGGGGTAATTGCCTTAAAATTTTAGGAATTAGGGGCCAAAAAAGGGGCAAAAAACAAGCATTTTTCTAGTTTCATGACAATAACTTGTATGTAAGTGTATGGATCTTTCTGAAA